TGAATCAAAATCCAAGATTAAAAAATAAAATGTAGCATATTAGGTAAACGGTAAAACAAATGCTAATTCATCCAATTGAGTTGCATCCTTGTAGCATGTGACTATGAATTTGATTATGAAAATTGTCATTATCCTTAAGAAGAAAGATTCTTCATAGCTTTGAAGTTTGTTGAAAATTTGTTATCATGTGAATGATGTCTGTGTGGTTGAGGTTAGGTAGAGGGGGCTATAATATTGAACTTTTTATTATTTTTTCCCCATTCCGAATTACTCATGTATAGAAATATAGAAATGCTAAATCAAGGTTCTATTATGAATTGATTCAGTAAGCTTGTTAAAAATATGAGATATTGGGCATCTTCTAAATCAATATAGTTAGACAGGATTCAAATCCGATCCACCTGTTTTATACACATGTTCATATATTTCACGATTCGTGGAGCTTACAATGACAAATTCTCTGCTTATATATAAGTTTCAAGAATTATGCTATTTGTACACCGACGTGTCCTCTCACAAGGGGGCACGCCTAATAAAAAAAAAATGTGGACCCCCTTTTGTGAGGGGAGTACAACGTCGGTGTATATATAGCAAAGCCCATGTTCCAATGGTTGCTTAAATTATATGGCATTCAAATTAATGCGGCAACCTACTTCATTAATCATTACAGCATTATCCACGATTGCTGAAAGCAACATTAGTTTTTTTTTTTTTCCTTGACAGCTTGATCCCATCACACCCAAACTAATTAATCATGCCCACTGCGGGTGTTACGCAAGAATTTCGAAATTTATCAGTAAACTTAAGGACCAATTTGCTACTTAAAAAATAGATTGGGGGACTAATAATGCAATAATCTTCCTAAAGAAAGAATTTGATTGTCGGCCTTTTGTGTAATTTGGTTAATTTAGCCTCCGCAAATTAAATTTTATTTCTTGCAAAATTTGTGATCAGTTTAAGCTTAAAGAATCAAATTTGGGTTATTGTAATTTTAATAGCTATGAATTTACTTATTCAGTAGGAAAATAATTAATTTTTCTTTAAA